GGCAGAGTTTAAACACTCTACGACTCCCTTTAACCAGACGATGTAGCCATCTGACCTCTTGAGGTACTTGACAACCGGAAGATTTGCCTTCTTCTGGCCTAGAAAGAAGTCCACAGTAGGTGGAACTTTTTTTTGATGATTGCCGATATAGTGCCTTGATAAGGCTAGACGACTCTTGAATTGCTTGTCGCAATATGAACRTGAGTTAAGATAAGTCTTGGACATTGTAGAACTGATGCGTTGAACAGCGGAATTGTTGATGATTCAGTCGCTTATTCAAAGGAAGGACCATTACAAAAGTGATGAATGACCAACATTTCCGCTGTTCGTTTCCGGATTGATAGTAGTAAGAGTTTAGAAAACTTAAYGATAAAATATCCTGATCAACGTGTTGTTTCTCCTTAAAGCTTAGACTCAATCGAGCTTTCTTAACGCGAAATTTCGGCAGCCAGCTTGTCAATTTTATATAGTTCCGTGGACATTGAAATGGATCAAGAACGAGGAAAAAGTCATAAGGAACGAAGAAAAGCAGCAAAACGTAGATGGCGAGAAAAAAAGAAGGAACAAGCGAAACGTGCGAGGGTTGAAGATAGGAGATTAAGGATTGAAGAAATAGTAAGACAGCATGCGAAAACCTTGGAAGTACAGGAAGGGTCCAACAGAAATCAATCAAAAGACGCGTGTACGCAAGCTGGTTATGGAAAGCTTGCAAAAGATGGAAAGAAATCGAGAAACACTCTCCCAAGTTTGTCTGGTGGTTTACAAGCCCGGGCAAATCTGCGAGAAATCCGTCGTTCTGAGGTGGTACGGGTGAAGTTTTTAGGCAGTGGATCATTTGGGTCATGCTACCTTGGGCAGTATCGGAGTCTCGATGTCGTCATCAAAGAGCTGCATAAGCAGGGTTCAGAAGAAACCACAAAGGAGGAGCTATTGCATGAAGCGAAGGTAATCGAAAGCCTAGGTGATCATCCAGGACTTCCTCTTCTTTTYGGCATCTGCAGCCTTCAATTGCCATATAGCCTGATTTTGCAGTATCACGGGGACAAGTCAAGCATGACAATAGCTAAAGCTGCATACTCTAAGAAAATTAAACAAGAATCACAATGGACTGCAATATTAAGGAGAGTAGCAGAGGCGATCATCCACGTCCATCAGGCCGGATACTTGCATAACGACATAAAGGGAAACAACGTTGTCTTAGAAAAAAAAGACCACCAATATAATCCTGTCGTCATCGATTTTGGCAAAAGTCGCCGTCTTGAAAATGCAAGAAAAGCCAAACTTCTCTCAAGAGAAGAACAAAAAAAAATACAAGGAGAAGTATCAGCATATTGCTCCGGAGATAGTCGAAGGCCGCCAAGGTGAAAGCTTGGCAAGCGATATGTTTAGTTTTGGGAAGATGGCAGAAACTATCTATAAAAGCCTGAATTTTGAAGCATTACCTTCAGTTATTTCTCTATCTCTAGACTCCATCCCATCGAAAAGACCAAGTTTYCAAGAGGTTGCGAATGAACTGTCTAAACAGTAGAATTATATAGTTATATAATCATATASTTATATAGTTTATAATTATGTATAATTATATTCAGTGTTAAGATAGTTATTTCGGCTATCATTTTTTGTGCATTCATTCGCCCAGACTGTAAATAGGTCTTGCTTACAAAACTCTTAGTCGCATTTATTGTTAGAATTTGAATCAAACAAATATCGTTTAGAAGTTTCGTTCTTAAGCACTTTTCAGGAATTTTTTTTTATCATATGAGGGCGGAGTAAAAAATAAACGTTAACAAACTTTGTAATTARCTTCTTGAATTTCCCCTCTCAAGCACTAATGTAATTTATAATTTGATACATTAAACACTTTATTTGTTTGTTGACGGATGAGTAAAGATTATAACACTTTGGTTAATCAAACCATTCTTCTGAAATTTTGGAGTCCTGCTGATGTTCTACTGTTAAACAGTAGAACATCAGCAGGACCTCTCTATTTCAGAATTGAGTAAAGCTCGTCGTGGTACAACTTGGGATTATCGATTTCATACGACAGGGTACTAAGCATCTCTACTGACATAGGAAACGCTGTATCCTCACGATTTGAAGATGAAAAGGTMGTTTGTCCACCCAAGCTCTGTAAAGGCCTCTTTACAACAAGTGCGGTGGACAATATAGATCACAATCCTTCATCCACCACTGCACAAGATTCCTTTCATGGAACAGGAATATCTCTGTTTCAACACACTACCAATTCATTAGGGATACAGAAAGAAATCGATAGCACCTCTTCCCGAAGAATATGCTAGCGTAAAGCCTCTAACACTACAAGAAAAGGAACCAAAGATTGATGGTTGTGCAGTAACCAAAAGCCAAATGGCTCCTGAATTTGAACAGGATCACACAAAGTAAGATCAGACTTTTTATCGAAAATACAGAATTTTTTTTACGTATATGCAGTCGTGTACATTTGTATTTCTTTTTCAGATAGCTTGGTCATGTGAAGTCCAATGTAGGAACTTTACAAGCAGCAA